AGACCATTAACCCGGCGGGGTGGCTCTTCCAAAGTGGTCAAAAAGAAGGTTTCAAAAAGAACAGGCAAAACTCCCAACACGGCCTTCAATCAGGAGCTTGTGCTCTCTCCGCAGCTTCAGGAAGTTGTCAAGAGTGAGCGGTTGAGCCGGCCGCAGGTTGTCAAGCAGATGTGGGCGTACATCAAGGCAAATAACCTCCAGGACCAGCTGGACAAGCGGAAGATCCATTGTGACGAAAAGTTGAAGAACGTGTTCAAAAAGCTGCTGGTAGGCATGTTCGAGATGAACAAGATTCTTGGCGACCACTTCATCAAGGACGACGAACTTTTGAACGGTCACAAGGAAGGAACCGTGAGCACTAGCGAGGAGGAGGTAAAGCCCAACCTAAAACGGGAGGTAGTTTCGGACGACAGCGAGATCAGCGATGTCGACGACTAGACATGTATTATACTGTACCGACTAATGTATTGAATACGATAATTGCAGCACATCTGAGAGGAGAGAATGAGTACAAGTTGTGGGGTTGGAAGACTCTATGTTGTACTATACAATTGACGTAGTTTATGTGGGTGGATTCTAGCGTGAAGGATCCAAATCCACAAAAGTCGATACCGTTTCTTTTAAATGAGAGTTGAACCTTGTTTCAAATCATCATCTTCCATCATTCGATTTTTTTTTTTTTTTATTCACCTGCCGAAATACAACACCGACGATGCCCAGAATGGCCGCAAATCGTCACAATGCGGATAGCTGCAAGCCCACAATACCCATATACTTTCCAAAGTGGAAACAATCATAGCAAACGGTAAACCAGTAATATTCCCAACATCACTAATCAGCTCCAACACAAAATTCCCGAAAAATAAAATAATTCACCATCCTCTCCAAATCACCGTAATCGGAATATTCTTCGTCTGGTTGTCCACGCGAGCGCATGCTAGAGGAGCATAAACACCATCTCCATATGCCGTCTACAACCACATAGCTTCAAAGTAAGAACACCTCGACAAAAACAACACGAATGATCCCCAAGCACGTGGACCCCGGACCTCGTCTGGATTCCCTCAAGCTGACTGTGGAGGATAAGCTGCTTGAATCCGTTGATTTTAACAAGCTATATGAGCTGGTCCTCAAGGTGCTCTTGCTTGAATACATATGTGAGGCGAGGTTCTACCAGACTATTCGGCCCAGCCCATCGCCGCTGAGGCGTAATGTTGATCGAAAGTCGAGGTTTTCGAAATTGGAGCCAGACTGTGCTCTTCCCGGTTATTTGATCGAGGACCTCAAGGCCAAGTTGAACAGTATTGCCATGAAGAAGAGCCACCACGATGACCTCACAAGAAGGTCCTTGTTGAGGTTTTACGGCGACATGCTTGCTCCGTCGTTCAAGGCTGACGTGAAGAGAGCAAACAATGTGGACATTTTGGTGATGAAGTTTGTCTCTGCTGCCAATAAAGAGGTGCTCAAAGTCGGCCTGATCCCCAATGAGGAAATCAGCTCGAGAGTATTTCAGCAAACGGACGAGTTCATTAAGATCATATCGTCATTGGTCCAGAGGGATAAAAATAGAGACGCGTTGGTGGCTAAATTGGAGGAACATAAGGCTGCGTTGAAGCCTGCAAAGCCTGAGGCAAACTCCAAGAGCGCTGACAATGTTCACTACCAAGAACCATCCTGCCAGGTCTCTGACATGGATCGCTCCTCAGTGAACCTCATTATGGAGTTGTTTGGAAAGGACCTGGCACAGTTACAGAACGACATTCTTCGGTTGAAGCCTACGGTCACTCAGAAGACGCTCCACAAGGACGTGGACCAAGCTCTCTTCTACCTCAACAAAGACATTGGCAAGTACTCGCCAAAACAGTTCTCCTCCCATGCAGCTTATGAGAACTGGAAAGAAAGGGAACTGGCTTTCTGCCAGCAACTCTACAAGAAGTACCCCGTGCCGTCGTCTATGAAGCTTTTACCCAACCCTGCATTACCAGCCGGTCTGGAGCTCTATATCATGCCTCCTTCGGCGGCTGTATCAAACTACTATACCATATTGACTAAGCTCTGTCTTCTCAACCACAAACTGAAGACATCTAATCCTAATTCAATGCTTCTTGAAGACGACGTCCTGCTTCTTTCAAACAAGTCCAAGGAAATTCTCAACGCTTGTGCTAGAGTCTGGCGTGTGGATTTCCCTACCCGTGCTGTATGCTTATTCAGCGCAGCTCATTTGGCAGGAATCCTTATAGACCCGCTCTTCCAAAAGAAAGACAAAGAGTTGGGCCCAATCGACCTAGAAATGACCAAGAAGGTTCTCATGTCTTGTAAGCAGGTTGTTGAATCACATGGCAAGCTTGATTGGGAAGAGAAGCTTTCGTGGTGTGCAAAGGACCAAGACCAATGGTTGAAGTTCTTGGGATACACTTACAGTGAAACCTTCTACGGTATAAAGGACTGTCTATCCATAATCATGAGCAAGACTGTAAAGCCTAAGTTTGGTCCTTACCTTGCATTCCTTGGTGACTTCGTCGAATCTGACGTTTTGTTTGGCAGACTCGCTGAATCGGGAGCTAGCTCAAAGTGGGAAAGAAAACTAACACGTACCCTTTTGAGAATATCCGAATCTCTGTATGCCGAAGTTCTCAAGACGTTACCAAGAGACAATTCATTATCCATTTTGCATATCATTGACATTTCTGACGCCCTTGTCGACAATATCAGAACGCTTCAAAAGCGATACAAGAACCCTCTCTTAGGTTTCCTCAATGTTAGTAAAACCTATGCTGCTGTCGTTACAGGTATGTTCGCTTCCGACGCTAAGAACGTCTTGAAGCACATAGCCGCCAATACAAAGGCAAGAGGTGAATTCTTGAACTACGGAGATGCTCTAGAAGCATATAAGTCTCTTCGGGAGATTAGAAGCATACATGGCCAGGTGTCTCCTCAGAATGCAACCTTCAATTTCAACCTCGAGAAATTCTTCTACCCGCATCTCGAAGCTTGGGTTGCCGAGAGTGGTAACAAGATCCGTGACTTCGTAATCAAAGCTATTGAGGAAGATTCTTTTGAGCCTATTGATATTGAAAATGATCAAAAGAAGTACAGCACGTCCGTGCACGACATTTTCACGTTCATCAAGCATTACCTCCTGATTCTCAAAGGATTAGACTGGCAAGACAGGTTTCAGGTAGCCAAGGTTTACACTATGTTGATGAAGAGTATCTCCAACTGTGCATTGCTTTATTCGAGCCGGATGAGTGAGATGATCATGGAGGACTTGAACGAAGAGGTGTTGGAGAAGACCCCCGATGTTCCTGAGACAAACGGTTGGTTCGCTGAAGTCAAAAGTAAAGTTGCAAGCTACAACTTGAACAATTCAAAAGTGGAGGTCGAAGAACCATTCAATTTTACCTCGCGTACATGTATTGGACTCAACAATATTGACGCTTTGATCACGCAGCTAGGTAAACTTGAGGAATTACTCAATCCTGAAGAGGTGTCGCTGTACATGGCAAAGTATGATCCAAACTCAGGCAAATCATACACAAACCACATCATATCCCTCAGAGTCGTCAAAGCTGAAGAGCTTCGATCTGCACTGGACAGATCGAGCATACGCCCTTATCTTACACTTGTCGACACAAAAGCTAGAAAGACAATTGTCAAAACGAGATCTCTTGACGGCGAAAACCCTGAGTGGGATGAAGAGGTGGAGCTCACATTGGCCGCCAATTCTTCTTTGACGATGTCGGCGACTGTCTGGGAAGAGAAGCTTGGAACTCATGCGGTTTGCGGCCGTGCGTTGATGCAGTTAGAGCCTAGGAAATTCAAGCACGATGGAATCCCACAAGAGGTCTTCCTAGATCTTGATCCTCAAGGAAGGATTCAGGTTGAGATTGCAGTGGAAAGTGAGAGGGAGGATGCCATTTTCGCAATGGGCCGAGCACATAGAGCTTTGAAGCGGAGCGTTGAGCGCATTACAAAGCTTATCGTTGCCAAATTCTCCAAGTTTATCAAGCTCTGCTTTTCCAGAAACTCTCTTAAATCGGTCTGTGGTACCAGTGGAAATGTAAAGCCTTCACAGGAACAGATGGACGAGGCTATGTTACCCCTTTACAATTATTTGAACATGAACTTGCTGGTGTTGGCGCAGTATCTTACTAAGGATCTTTTGCATAAAGTCATGTTAGAGGCTTGGAATATCGTCGTAGCAAGTGCTGATGAGTTGTTGCTACCCAAACTTGCCAGTGCCAAGGCACTTCGCATAGCCCAATTAAAGAAGTTGAAGGCTGGTGGTAGCTCTGGCAATTTGATGGCATCTGGTTGGCAGTCTGCTGTCTCCTCTGCCATGGCAAATGTGACTAGTTCTATGAGTACCCTCGGTTTTGGCAAGACTCTTACGAATAATGAAATCGAAACTGTCATTGCTTGGCTTCACTTCCTTTGCCTCGACTTCTTTCATAACGAAGGTAATGGTCCACCAATCTACGATCTCAAGACTGAGCAATACCAATCGATTTTGCTCATACCCGTCTACTACGACAAGAACTCTGCATTCCTCGTACAAGAGGTGGAGAGACTCTCCCCGGCATACCTACAAATGCTTCGTGACAAAAACAACGTCTTCATCTCGAATCACCCAGACGCCGATACCGCTAGTTTGAGGAGCAGAGCTGGTTCTATTGCTCGGAGCCTGACGATACGAGCCAATGCCACTGCTCAAGCAAGAGCACGTGCAGCGAAAGAGGCCAGGGAGCTTCTGTCTGATCCATTGGTGGCTCAGACTTCAGCTGAAAACATCATTCTCCGGCTTTTGCTTATCAAAGATGAGAAGGCATTCGTCGCTAAACGTGTTGAACAGAGAGAAAGGCTTGCTCACACAATTGCTACCGAACGTCTTGCAAGAGCAGCAGCGGAAGGAACACTATTTAGATAGACTACAAATCAACCATCATTACAAACTTTTTAGATCTCTATGTTACAAACCACTGCTTTTTCCACACCTCGACTTAAGCCGTAGAATTATCCTGGGCTCCGCCCTCGGGAGCAGTCGTGTCAGCACCTTCGTCTTCATCAGCACCGGCATTGATTGTTACCTCCTCATTTGTGGTTTCATTAACGTCCTGCTGTATGGTCGTGTCATTTGGGTCATGGAAAATAGTAGTGTCGGCATCCACTGTGGTATCGGGATTCACCTTGGTGGTCTCAGAGTCTCCCTTTGAAGATTCTTCAGCGGATTTTTTATCCTCTTGCTTGAGTGTCTCCCCATCCTCTTCCTCGTCATCTTTGCTTTCGGGCTTTTCGGTAGTCTCGTCAGCATCCTTCATCTCGACATCCTCGACGGCATTGGCGATTCCTCTGTATTCTGTTGCACCCTTCTTGAGAAGAATGTCGAAATTCAGACTAAGCTTCTCGCTCTGCTCTTCACTGAGGTTAGCTTTCCAACCAAACTCCTCATCATCCAACAATTTCTTGAAAGTCTCAATCTTCTCTTCTGGGGTAGATGTGGGTTCTTTCTGTTTTTGCTGAACAGAATTTGCTGTGAACTCATCGTGAGCACCAGGCTCAAAGAATAAACGGTATGAGTTTTCGCAAATGGATACTCTGAGGTCAGATGAAGCCTTGCCCTCGCATTGCTCTTCCTCGACAGCATCGATAAATGCCTTATGGAAAGGCATATTGATCTTGGAGGCTGGAACACCTTCAGTTGGGTGAGACATGACATAAGAAGTGACGTAGTAATTGTAGCTTTCCTCCGCATTCTCATGATCATTAATCGTTAAATCATCAAGAGCAACAAATTCAATAGTGACCGAGTTCTCAGGCTCCTTGACAACAATCTTGAACATATTCTCCTCGTTGCTCATGAGGGACCTCACTTGCATACGATACAAAATCTGATCCTTCGCTGTAGAAGCTGGTGTTTTACGGTCTTGTTCAAACAACACCACCATCTCCGAAGTCTTGGAGTCAGTAATTATCGTATGCATATGCTTCACAAGAGCTTGAACAACCTTGTCAATGGTGTAGCACTTGTAAGCCTTGTTGCGGTACCCTTGACGCAAACTTTCCTCAAACCACTGGTGCTCGATTTCACCATCAAGTAACCTTTCTGTCAAAGACAACACTTGCTTGTAGCAATCCTTGAAGCCCACCATCTGAACGCCCATTTCCTCAAGCTGATGCGAGACAAGGTTAAGGTCTTTAGCAAACTGAGGGATCTTCCTAGCGCTGATTTCCTTAGCAACCTCTTCATTCATTCCCTTTATCTCCTCGAGTCTCTCGTATAAGGTTCTGAAGTGACGGAAGAACACATATATCGTGGTATTGCAGAAGAAGTTGAATCTGTCACGCTTATGTTCTCTTGACATATCGTCGAGAGAGAAGTTAGATGACGCTGTTCTGATCCACAATTCTCCGGACTTCTCGACTTCATCGACAAGATCGGGCTCCTCGGACTCACTAGCTGAGGAGGCATCCTTCTCCTCCTTTCTGCTCTTGGATTGCTTCTTCAACACATCACGCAACAAGTCTTGGTCACGATTACGCTTCTTTGTGTTGTTCGATTCGACGGTGCCATTCTGCTCTGCATGAGTGCCAATATCTTCAGGATTCTTGGTTTCCTCTTTACCACGTTCCTCCTTGGATCTTGCTGTCAATGCCTCTTCGATCGTCTCTTGGCTGATGCCGAAGAAGAAACCAATGAAGTACTTGAAGAAGGCGCCCAACTTATCCCTGTCACTGCTGGAGTAGTTGGATGAATGGAAAATATAGAACTCGGCAAGCTTGATGATGTCATAGACCACATCGAAGTCTTCGAAAACATAGTCAAGCTGTTCCTGAGGCTTTGGCGTCAATGGATGAACCCTTTTGTTTTGTTGCTCGACCTTTACCGTGCTAATCTCGCTAACAAGCTGCTTGGCAGTGAGAAGCTTTTTGTCTGCTTGTTTGAATGTCAAGCCCAAATGGTCGAGAGATTTGTAGAAAACTTTCTGTTCCATCTCTCTCCAAACCTTGTTCCACTCTCTCTGGGCTCTCTTCCACTCTTCATCTTTCTGCTTCAATCTCTTCAAAACAACAGGCACAGCAATAGCAGGGTTTTCATGAAGTGCGTCGATGACTTCGAAACCTCTGTCCTTGTCATAAACCTTTCTGATGACCTTCTTGTAGATAGTCTGAGAGGTGTGTCCCAAGCCAGGCGGAAGTTTGAAGTTTGCCTTCTGCTCAGCTGTCATGTTTGCGATTCTGTTAGCGATCGTCTCTAGTGTTTGGATGGTGCGCAAGTTGGCTTCAATGTGGTAGTCAAACTCCAATCTCTCCTCCTCAATCTTGAAGAGAATCTCCTCGTATTGATTCTTTCTGTGAGAAATGAAACCAGAGTCTTCAGAAGCCCAAGTTGGGTGACCCACCCACTCGTCATTAAGAACCTCCCAACACATCTCATCCCTGCCGGAGCAGGGCATGTAGGTTTCAACCTTTGGCAATTGTCTGTACGAAGGACCATAAGCTTTGCAAAGGGAAAGCTCGATTTGATGCTTCTTGAAGGTGATATCTTCGATATGTTGTGTCTCTTCCTTGTAACCCACGAATTGCTTGAACCAGTTAAGCAAGTCTTGGTGAGTGTCGCCGAGGAAATAGTCGACTCTCTCGATCAAAGTGGCTTTATCGATGATATCCTGAGAGTATAAGTTGAGGAACTTCAAAAATTCGTTGTAGGATTGCTTGTTTCCGATAGCCTTCTTGACCTTGTCAAAGAAACCCAACTCTTCCAGCAAGGAGGATTGTCTGACGGCGGCCGTTGGTGGGACGGGTTCTGGTACACCAGGAACCAACGTTGGGTTGATCTTGGTGCCGTTCTTAGTGAGCACAGTCGGAGCACCCGGAGTACCGTTTTTCAGCTTGTTTGCAGAAGGCTGAACACCGGCACGCATACTTGAGTATTGAGCCTCCTCATTGTAGTTGTTCTCATAAGCCAGTTGCTCGGATCGTCTTCTCATGTCCTCGTGCATCATAGCACCACCTTGCATAACCATTTCTTGGGGTGGCATTTCGTAGTGAGCACGATACTGTTGCTCTCCGTTCATCATAGGGCCGCCAGCGGCGGGTTGGAAATTTCCTAAAGGTGGCAACTGTGATCCGTTATTACCTGGAAAGTAAGGTGGTTTATCGACATGCTGCAAATGAGGCTGAGCCTGAGCCTGAGCTAGAAGAGCTGGACCGTCGTGAGACCTCTGTGGTTGCAAGAGCGGCTGGTTCCCACTGTCAGGCAAAAATTGTTTGAAGTCGTTAAGCAAGTCAGGAGAGCTTGAGAAAAGCAGGGTGACCTGCTCATAAACCTCACCAATAGGTTTCTGTTCGCGCTGGTAAGTCTGCAAGATTTCCAAAAATTGCTTGTAGATATCTGGCTGGTTTGCAAACCTCGTCTTGATCTTGTTGACATAAGAAATGGCATGGTTGAATTCGACCTGACCACCGGCCCCAGGTTGCTGCTGTTGCTGATCGGTTGGGAACTGTTGCAACTGGTGAGGGAGCATTTGCTCGGCGTTCCACTGCTGCTGTTGTTGCTGGGGTGGAAGGTTCATGTTTGGTCTTGTCGTAGTGCCTGTTGGGGTAGTCACTCTGATCGGGTTAGGGTCAGAGGGGTCTAAGGAGCATTCGATCCGGTATCCAGGTGGCAAGAACGTGTTGAAGCCCTGAATCAAGTTGGGATGGCCACGGAACAAGGTGGACACTCGATCGATGACGCCCGGGGTGTCTATGCTCTGCGACTTGAAATCCTTCATGATATCCAAGAAGTTGTTGTACACGTCTGCCTGGTTGTAGAACTGGATCTTCACCTGGTCAAGGTAGGACAAAGCATCCTTCACGTTCAATGGTCTGTAGGCGCTGGAAGATGATGACCGGTTCAACACGCCAGGTGGAAGAGGACCCTGTGGCTGCGAAGCTGGGCCGATAGGACCCTGAGCCTGCTGCTCCTGGGTGCCCAGAGGTGCCAGGGCTGTGCGCTGGGGATCGTGAGAACCGTGTGGCTGCAGCTTCTGGCTAGCGGCAGGCTGGGTCTGTGGCAGCGACTGATGTGGAGGCTGCTGCTGCTGCTGGGGCTGTCCCTGCGGCTGGGGCTCCTCCTTGACCTTTTCCTCCGGTGGATCGCGGTTGGTGATGTTGTAGATGGAGTTGGATGGTCTAGGTGGGTTCTGAGGGAGCGAAGAGAAGCCCTGGACGTGAGGGAGGTGGGGCCCTTGCGAAGAGCCCTGAGGGGCCTGGCCTTGCAGCGAAGACGTAGGCTGGCCGCCCGAGGGTCTTCTGTCGTCGTTGGAGCTGATGGATGGGATGGTGAAAACGTGCCCTGAGGAGGTGTTGGCTCTGTTGCCCAAAGCAGGTAGGTTAGGGAACGGCGAAAAGGGCTGGCCGCCTGCCTCCAACGTGGCAGGGGGTGGCAAAACAGGCGGATTTTGGCGGCTGCTGTTAGTATAGGGCGTGATGTCGCTGGATGGTAAAACATACTTGAAGGGCTGGCCTAGCGGGATGCCCTGGTTGGACCAGCGGTCCTGCTGGTTCGTCATGACTGGACCTGCTGAATAGGATTACTGTGGATGGAGATGTTGAAAAAAGCAGGTACGCTTTTGCTTTAATGGACCAGGGTGTAGTTGCAGGGTTGGATGTCAATTGACAACTCGAGAGCGGTGCGTATGGCTGCCTGGGGCGGGTAACCCCGGCTGGTTTTCGGTGAGCGAGGAGGGAGATGCATTGGTCGGTTCTGTGCAGGCGTGGTATAAGCGCCAGCCCACGCTAAGCGAAGGTCACCTGTTACTACGGCAAGAATTTTAGAAATTTTGCAGGTGAAGAAAACGGAGGGTTTTCAGGTTGGGCTTTTTGGGCCCGGCTGAGGAAAAGGTTTTTTCTAGTCGGCATACTGCAGATGGCGGGTGGGGTGTTTGTTGTTCCTGGACCGGCCCGGTAATACGACGCAGGTCTCTGGCTGATAAGTGAGTAAGCCAATGGGTGGTGGATGGGTTGGAAATTGAACATTTTGAGTTTTGGGGTTGTTCAGTGAGATGGTGTAATAATTGGATCTGTAAAGCAGCGGGGCTTGTAGAGATAAGATAGGACGCGGTACGGACCGATGGCTGTGCTTGAGAGAGGTGGAGAATGACTGTCTGAAAATGGGGGAGATACCTCACGCCCATTGAAACTGACTTTTTCCAGCTTGGGGTGTTTTCATGGCAGACGAAAGCATGTGCCCAGATTGACGTGGGATTGATCGATGAGGAAGATGATGAAGATGAAGTATGGGCATCTTCGGCTAGAAACCGAGAATAGCCGGGTTTGCCGTTGGTTTTGATCCATAGTCTTCGTTGATGGCGGTGGGGTCATATTGATGGTCTCCTTTGTGATTGCCATTCTTGTCGGTTATTGAAAGTCCTTCGGACCATTTGTAACTCTTATTCTTATGGTAGCAGCCTTATACCCGTCTGATAGCATGGTCAGACGGAGTCAAGACGTAGAACGATGATTCGAAGCTTTTCGACATAAATGAGCACCGTAGATTCAAACAAACAGCTCCCGTTGAGTATGGAGGCATCACTCTTCCAAAATGGTCTTTTTACACTTGCTCTTTTAGACTGTGCTTCCCATGTTCACAGAAATGCTGGCTCTTTACGTCGTGGGTGCGAAAAACGCAAACCATGACATCTTGAACCCACCTTCATAAATCACAAACCTCCCAATTGCCCAAAAAAATTAGTCGATTCGACACGTATGCCATCCCTTAATGCCTACAGAACTCTGTTGAACCTTTACCCTTTCCCTTCCTGGCAAAGCTCTGAACATCACCTCTTCGGCTCCTCCTCTGGTACCCTCCTGCAGGAAATTTGAACGAAACGAAAACTTCACCTTCAACACCTCTGTCCTTGTTGCCACCATGAACGCTCCAGACAGATTCGAGTTGTTCATCTTGCCTGATGGTGTTGAGAAGTATGTACTTGCTTATATTTTGGTATTAATTACGCTAACCACAGAATCAAAATCATCCCAGACACAAAGGTGCCCAATGCTGCCATCATCAAGATCGAGAGAGAGGATCACACGCTAGCTAATTTGTTGAGATCTCAGCTTGCTAAGGACGACAGAGTCATCTTTGCTGCCTACAAGGTGGAGCACCCACTTTTTGCCAACTTTGTGTTGAGAATCCAGACGGACGATGACTACACACCAAGAGACGCTTTGAAGAACGCCTGCTCGAACCTCATTTCTGAGTTGGATGTTCTCAAAACCAAGTTCAAGGACGAATGGGCCCTTAAGTCCTTGCTTAACAACGACGACTACTAATTACTTGTATATTATAGGCACCATTTGACATGGTACAAAACAGGAAATCTACAGCAAAGGTACTTTTCATCTATGCATTCGTAGTATTATACATTAGTGGGAATCTTATCCCTCATGGCTTTTTCAATCATGGCTATCTTCTCCAAACAGTTGGGCACCTCCGTCTGAGGGAAGTTACCTTGCTTCAACACTAGTACTAGTGGGTGCGTTTGGATCACTCTATTCGGCGAGACGTGGGAGATGGCGAGTCCGCCTTTAGAAATGCAAATCTTGTGGTGGTCTTTGAAGTTGAATTGGAAGTTACCGTTGGTCATCTCGAACATGATGTAGTCGCTGTTTCTAGTGTATCGCCTCAAGAATACAACTTGTTTGCGCAGCTCGTTTTCACTGACCTTCGACAAGTTTGTGTTCATGTACTTGGCGAAGAAGTCGACGATTTCAAGCTGTCTCTTGGCCTGTGCTGGAGGGTTCGTTACCGAGCTTTCGATGCATGCCCAGCCTTCTTTCTCGTGGTAGATCAATTCAAAGAACGAATCGCTGTCGTGAAGTTTGAGGATGGTGTTTTCATCGTTGAACAAAACACCAATGTCGTCATTATTCAACTGATACGAGAAACCGTATTTGTTGGAGTAGTCGACCCACTTGGAAATAAGCGTGGGGTTCTCGCAAGTGGGAAGCTCTCTGACGTCCAACTCCAACTTTGACCTCTCTCTGGTGAGGTCCAGTAGACGGCGGATTGTGTCGGCAGTTTCCTGAAGGCAAAGATCCAATTTGACAATGGTCTTGTTGAACTTCGAGTGGAAATTGAGCTTTCTCATGGTACTTCTCTGGGCGCTCATTAGAGTGGTTGGCACAGCAACCTCTTGGTATTTAAGACGAGTGTCACCTGGAGACAAGGATTGTGGCAATACCGTGCGTGGTTGGTCTGACTGCAAGTCCAGCTTCAAGATCTCCACGGGGTTCTTGCTCTTTGGGGTGTAGATACCTGCTCTAGTCTTAGCGTTGGCAAAATTGAGGGCACTTTGAGCACGGGAAACCTCTCCAACACCGTAAGGAGTGGCCGTCAAGGCGTCCTCTGTGGTTTTGTTGGGGAAGGGGCCCTTGAACCATGGGTAGTCCAAGATTTCGTGGATGGACGGTCTATTCAAGGGGTTCAAGCTCAACAAGTCCTGGATTAACTGTTTGGCCTCGTCGGAGATCTTCTTGTCGGGAGGAAACGAATAGTCGGTTTTCTTGATACGCTCGTAGATGACATTGACGTCTTTGGCTTGGAATGGTGGCTTGCCTACAAGCAAGGCGTACATCATGATACCAATGGCCCAGATGTCGACTTCAAAGGAGTGACCAGTGGTCTTACCACCGAGAACTTCTGGCGCAATGTAGTTTGGAGTTCCGCAAATGGTGTATTTTCTCGATTCAAGAGAAGGTAACACAGAGGCCAAACCAAAGTCGCCAATCTTCAAGTTCATGTCTGGGTCAAAAAAGATGTTTCCAAGCTTCAAGTCTCTGTGGATCACTCTGCGAGAGTGCAAGTACTTGATTGCTCCGACGATCTGAACCATGAAGTAACGAACCTCGGGCTCAGATACTCTCTTTCTGGTCTTCAAGAGCTCCATGAGCGATTGATTGGGACAAATCTCTAAAAGAATGTAGACATTGACGTCATCCTCAAAGCAGTCGACAAAGTTGACGATATTAGAGTGCTTGAGCGATTTGTGGATCTTGATTTCCAGCAAAAGCTTAGTCTTTGTTTTCTCGTTCTTGATCAGCGCCTTGGCGACGGTTTTGGCAGCGTAGATTCTACCCGAGGCATCTCTCATTTGGAAACAACGGGCGAAGCCGCCTTCTCCCAAGAAGTTGCCTCTACGGTAGTCAATGCCGCTTCTAGTTCTGACAATCGATGGAGGAGTTTTACAAAGAGCCAGGAGCTTTTCCTTCTTCTTCTTGGGCTTTTCTTGCTGGGGCTCGGTCACAGGAATCTGATGATGAACTTGGGCCTGAGCTTGATGCTGGGGCTGGTAGTGCTGGTTGTGGTATAGGTCGTACTCCTTTCTTCTGGAGGCCTTGACTGGAGTCAAATTAGCCTTGTTAAGGTGGCCGCTGTTAAGCGGCTGTAAAGGCTGGGACCTGATGCTCATGGCGTGGAGGCTGGGAAATTGGACGGTACGAGATGAAAGAGTGGGTTCACCAGGCTTGAGGGAAGATACGGCGCAAGACGAATATATATGTGTTTGCGTCTTTTGACCAAAAAGGCAATGTGCCAACGGAGTAATATTATGTTTTGGGCTGAGAAAGAGAAGGCCTCTACAGGAGAGCTCTGACAGATCGGGAAAAATGAATATAATCGCTCGGAGGCCTCCTGGCAGAGGTGTGAAGAGTCGCTGTTTACAAAAGTGACGTTTGCGGTAATGGCATTGAATTCTCTATTTACATTTTGGCTCTATGGAGTGCCTACATGCAGGCTTCTCACCATGGCTGCTACACCTTCCTCTCTCACGCCCGTTTGAAACGCCCGTCTACAACCTGAAACATTTTTTTTTAAAACTTCGTTAACATAAATCTGGTTGGGATCAGCATAGAGAATTTCAGACAATTCATAGGGGATTTCGAGGGAATGTGAACAATGTCCCAATCGGGTATAGTTATGGTGTCAACAAACAAACAGTATGGGTCGCACTTAGCCCAGGATGCTTCGAAGCCAGGGCTCATTCGAACGCTGGTTATTTTCGGTGCATCTTGCGACTTTCCAGGTTAGTCCCCGTTTGCAGCCGTTGCACAAGCCACCGTCAACCTAATCACCTACATCTTATCAGCACCCTCGTTGGCGAGCCTATCAGCCTGCTCATTCCCTTCAATGCCCTGGTGTCCTCTCACGTGAGTGATTGCTAATTCGGACTCTCCTTGGCTCTTGTAGTGCTCGTTAATAGCGTTGTACTTTCCAACGGCATCCTCGATGATATCCCTGTTGGCCACGTCCTTGCCAGCCGAGTTCTTCCAGTCATTGTTGGCCCAGTTCTTAGACCAATTGTCGACACAGTTCTTTGCGTAAGACGAGTCGGTGAAGATCTCGTACTTCTCGCCGCCCAGTTTAGCCGAATCAAGTGCGGAGCCCAACGCGTGTTTCAACGCGTGCAATTCAGCACGCTGGTTGGTTGGCGTTGTGGTTTTGACGTCATCCACGTCTGCCAACGACACGGCAGCATTTCTCGAGTCACCAGGCCCATAGTAGACACCGTATCCGGATTTAGGAGTACCCCCCTTTCCGTTTCCACGAGACGCGCCGTCAACGTAGACGGCTGATCTCTTGGAGGAGCCACCAGAAGAGGTCTTGGAGGAGCTTGCTTTTGAAGAAGAGCCACCAGAGTAGCCACCAGAGTAGCCACCAGAGTAGCCACCAGAGTAGCCCCCAGAGTAACCGCCCCCAGAGAAACCGCCACCACTTGAAGAACTGCTTCCAAAACTGAACCCCCCAGAGCTCCCACCAGAGGACGACCCGCCGGAACCACCAGCTTGGTTGGCACTGATGAAGCTTTGAGCAGCAGCAGGAGAGTCAAACTTCTTGAAACTCGAGTTAGAGTATCCCAGCGTGTTGCTCTTGCATTCGTCCCACAGGCGGTAAACACCCACACTCTTACCACGAGCGACGGCGTAGTAAGCCGGCTTGGAATTTCTAGCCATTACTGTGGTTTTTTTGATCAACTTGACGGTGGATTTGATCGTATTATATACCGCGTCAATTCTGCAGGGGTTAGAAAATTAGGGCTAGATTCTCGGCTTTCATTTTGTGCCCCTCCTTTTGTGGCTTCGTCATGATAATCTTTTTATTGTTGTGTTATTATTCGGCTTCATATGAATATTTAGTGCTGGTCATCTTGTTGATGCTATGTCTATGAGTAGTTGGTTGGAATCATGAATATGACTGTGCGACTCGGCGCTTTCCACTACTATCCACACCTATTGGCCAAGGATCGTTTTTTATTTTTCTCGGCCTTAAAACCGACTTAAGCTCAATTGACTTTAGCATATTTAGCCAAGTTCGTCTAATGAAAGGGGCACGATGATTCGGGAGCTTGACAGTAATCATCCGATGCTTCTCATGCATTTTGCAGCCATTCATTGATCGAGGGTCATTTACCCCATTGCTTTTTCTTACGCTATTGAAGTTCTTTTAAGGTATAACAATCAGTTGAGTGTATAAACGGCTCAACTTTCAGGACATCGAACGTCAGTGTTTTAGACTGCTAGTTGTGGACCCCATCCCTTCTTGATTCACCCATGCTGCACACCATATTCACGAGAAAGCTAAACGAAAAGTCTTACTTCTCCACAGATCAAGGTTTTTTTAATTCATTGGAAAATCCATGTAAATTGACTGCTTTGGGGCCCTACGGTATTGTGTCACTCAGGGAGGTCAGTACACCCTGCATTAGTCTGATCTCGAATGATGTGATCAACATGTTGGCTCAAGAAGTGAGACGAATAAATCAAACACAGGGATCCGGGAGTGATACTTAATGAAGGCATTGTCAATGGAATGGCGTCTATTGTTGGAATATTAAAGGGGATTGGCTGCCCTTTCATGTCTACCACTTGAGGACGAGAGGTACCATGAACCCAGACTACAACTGAAAGTTCTTCATTAAAAGTCAACCTCGTCAACAAGATTGACTTGGCTTGATAATACTACTTGAGAGCTTTCAGAGGAGGTCCCTTAAAAGGGATTCGTCCAGCCCTTTATCAGTCGTCTTACATACCCCACAGGTAAACCAGTGCAAACCTCAAAAATCATGCTCATAGGTAAACAAGAACAAACCTGATAGTACTGTTTCAAATCCAATTTATCTTCACACAACAAAGCCACCGGAAATGGCCTCTTAAGGCACCTGGATATATGCCCTTCCATACCTCGTCGGTCGTGCCCATCTCATAATAGAATTCATGCCAGCAGCAATTTTTTTTCTGATCTTCCCAAACCCTAAGACAACCTTCCAGGCAATATGAGTGACAGCGAGGACTTGACCCTTTCGGAGATCTCGTCCCGAAACGGACATGGTGCCGTGAAAAATGAGGATGATGAGATGCCATTGGCGCAGTTGAACGGTAGAGCCAAGCAGAAGAAGAGAAAGCTGTCTGATAAGAGCAATGGGGCACCAAAAGAGAAGAAAGCCAAAAAGGCAAAGACCACACTGTCTCTGAAAGTGAAGAAGGAGACCCCTCTGGCTCCTGCCACGCCAAAAAAGACCAAGAAAACACCAAAGCCATCGCAAACACCAGGCTCAGAAACACCCTCAGCTACACCAAAGAAGGAGGACTCAGAGGAGGCTGATGAAGGCTACAAATGGTGGGAAGACGAAAACTTTGGTGAAGGTGAAGAGAGGTGGCAGACTTTGGAGCATGCCGGTGTCATTTTCCCTCCTCCGTACGAACCGTTACCTAGTTATGTCAAGCTTTACTACAACGGTAAAGCAGTTGACTTGCCTCCTCTTGCAGAGGAAGTGGCAGGTTACTTTGCTGCTATGATAGAAACTGACCACGCCAAAAACCCGGTTTTCCAGCAGAACTTCTTCAATGACTTCCTACAAGTGCTCGAGGAGTCTGGTGGTTGCAACGTGGAGATCAAGGACTTCGACAAATGTGATTTCTCTAAGATGGCAGCATTCTTCGAAAAGCAAAGAGAAGAAAAGAAGGCCTTGACCAAGCCTGAGAAGCAGCGCATCAAGGAGGAGAAGGAAAAGCTTGAGGAACCATACAAAACGTGTCTTATGGATGGCCGCAGAGAGAATGTCGGTAACTTCAGAGTGGAACCTCCTGGTCTTTTCCGTGGACGTGGTGCACACCCAAAAACAGGTAAATTCAAAAGAAGAGTGTTCCCTGAGGACATCACACTTAACTTGGGTGAAGGTGCCCCAATTCCACCAGCACCAGAGGGCCACAGCTGGGGCGCTATTAGACACGACAAGACCGTGGTTTGGTTGGCCATGTGGCGTGAAAACATTTCGGATACTTTCAAGTACGTCAAGTTGGCTGCAAACTCCTCCATCAAGGGTATTTCCGATATGAAGAAGTTTGAAACCGCCAGAAAGCTCAAAGACCACATTCAGCGCATCAGAGCCGACTATACCAAGATGTTGAAGGATCAATTCATGCAAAATAGACAAATCGCCACTGCGACCTACTTGATCGATATCTTCGCTCTCAGAGCTGGTGGTGAAAAGGGTGAAGACGAAGCCGACACCGTGGGCTGTTGTTCCTTGAGATACGAGCACGTTACGCTCAAACCACCCAACAAGGTCATTTTTGACTTTTTGGGTAAGGATTCGATCAGATTCTACCAGGAAGTGGAAGTGGACCGTCAAGTGTTCAAGAATCTACGAATTTTCAAAAAAGAGCCTAAGGGCCCAGGAGATGACATGTTTGACAGAATCACACCCACCATCTTAAACAAGCATTTACAGAACTACATGAAGGGCCTCACAGCCAAGGTGTTCCGTACCTACAACGCCTCGAAGACTATGCAAGACCAGATGGACTTGATCTCGAACGAAGGTACGGTGGCTGAGAAGGTTGTCAAGTACAACGCCGCCAACAGAACCGTGGCCATCTTATGTAATCACCAGCGTACGGTGAGTAAGAACCACGAGGTCGGTGTGAAGCGTATCAACGACAAGATCAAGGAGCTCGAATGGCAAAAGCTCAGGCTCAAGAAGATGATCTTGGACGTTGACGAGAAGGCAATCAAGAAGGAGCCTAAGTATTTCGAAGAGCTTGACGATCTTACGAAGGATGAGCAAGGGGTCATCGTTGAGCGTGTGATCGAAAGACAAAAGGATCAGGCGGAGAAGAAGTGGAATAGAGACAACGAGAAGCGCAAGATGGAGAAGCAGGAGTTGCTTACCAAGGAGGATCTCAAGGAAAAGCTCGACAAGATTGCAGAGACCAGGAAAGAGTACCTCAATGAGATCAAAACGGGCAAGGTGGAAGCCACCAAGGGAGCTTCAGTGGCCTCGTTGAAGACAAAGATTGAAACGGTGGAAAACAGAATCACCAACACAAGCTACCAGCTCAAAGACAAAGAGGACAACTCTGAGGTTTCCCTTGGCACGTCGAAGTTAAACTATATCGACCCAAGATTGACGGTTGTGTTTGCCAAAAAGTTTAACGTACCCATCGAGAAGCTTTTCACCAAAACACTCCGGGACAAGTTTAACTGGGCCATTGAGTCTACAGATGAGAACTGGCGTTTCTGAGGCGGCCTGATTTCAGGCGGCGCCACACGGTAATAGAGCCCTGGCAAGGCAAAAATAAGAAAGTGCACGGCACGTTTTCTCCGGAAAAGGCCTTAATTGGCCGGCACGGCGTAGGCATGTATTTCATTTAATAGCGTGAACAATTCGCGGTCGCTGTATAAGGCATGGTGATAACATTGTACTCGCGGCAGACGCATTCTGTGCATATTTGGCACCACAGGGGGGTTGGAGGGACAATCAAAAATGGCCGTCTGGGCAGCTAGATGAAAACGGGAAGCACTACTGGATTCTTGAAGATCTCAGCATTACAACAGTATAATTTTCATCTTCATCACCCGCCGGGAACACCCCCGTTTTCAAACCCCGAACCTGCCAGAATCGCGTTTCTATAAACCGCGTACATCCATGCATGATGGCTGCAAACAGATTAGCAATGGCCGAACTCTTTTAAAGTTTCTGTTCCGCCTGTTTTCCTCACCTTTTGTTCAAGCTCTAACCCACCACATTTCATTCCTTTGTCCCATGAGACTTCCTGTGGTGCTTCTATTGGCAACGCTTATACTGGCCAAGCCTCTCCCTCTGAGGACTGGCATCATCCACCATCACCATCTTCATGCCAGGGACGACATGCCTGGTGTCACCGACACCGCTGCCACGACGACTTCCACAAGTTCCAAGTCAACATCGAAAACATCCACTTCGAAGTCGTCCAAATCTTCGAGTGCCTCCACTTCTGATATGCCTTCAGCTGAGGACTCATCCACCACGGAAATGCCTTCTGCTTCGGTGCTTCCTTCCATATCGCTGACGCTGTCGCTGTCTACACTGTACAGCTACTCCATCACGGTGCCGCCATCGACGCAAACAGGCAGCTATAATGAAAATCCATACGTCTACAGAGCCACCAAACCAGCCAACCTCGTTTTCATAATTGTCGGCGGCATCCTCGGCCTCATGCTTCTCTCCTTAATTGCCATCTACCTTGCGTTCTGGCTCATCAGCAGAAGCAGAGCCAAGAAGGAGAGGGAGGTGTACTTTGGCATGCTGATGCCTGGTCTCAATCTGAGCCAGCTGAGTTTCTTCAACAGCGACGGCAACTCGTCCATTGCTGAAAAATCAAGCACGGGCTGGGGCTCCAATTCGTCAGTTCTCATGCTTCATCGCCAATCTCTGGCTCTTCATCTAGACAGAGCCAGTGTGCTTCCGTCTCAAGGCAGAAGCTATAGAGAACTGCAAGGATTGGAGGGTACTCGTCGTGGATCGATGTATATTTCTCCAGTACTTGAGATGATGCACGGAAGAAGCCGACTGCAAGTGGACTTGGTCAGACCCGATTCCATATATGGACTTGATCTGCCATACGTTGATTCACCGCTTGATTCACCCACGGACTACGCCTCCACAGATGCTATAAACACGCAGCCAATTGAAGAGAAAAAGAAGCTGCGGCCACCTTCCCAGATTCTAGATGACCTCTTGGGCGATATGGATTTCACGTTGGATCCAGCTAAGGACGAGCATTAGAGTATTTTATAGAATTGCCACGGGCGCTAATATAGTATAGACAAAGTGGGTGTAGGGGGTCAAGTGAGTCTCGATTTTGAACTACGGCGTTTTGGTTGCAAAATTCCGTTCACAATTAACAATCAATAAAGGTGATACAGCATGCATTTGAAGCGAATAAAAGAGTAAAAATGCCGACGTAGCAAAGTACAGATTGCCAAGTTTGGCTTGACGAGAGATAAATGCAAACATACGTTGTGACTTGTGGCAGCCTTTGGCGGACTTTTAACCGAGGATCTGGCAATTGTCGTTCTGCCAGATCTACCCCTAACAAGACCAAAACATTACAAGGAATTCGCAGATTTCAAAGTGAAGCCATATAGTTTCATCGGTAAATTCAAATTTTCATCACCATAACAATTGAAACATTTTGGACGAACAGTGCTACGCCCATGCTGCCTAGTAACGCATGACGCAAGAATATGCCCATACATTGACCTTCAATGACCTCCCCAAAGTCTTCAAAAATGAAGCAAATTCCTCAAAAAGTCCATACAAGCCATCCAAATATCACCATTAAAAAATAAAAAATTCACCTCCCTCTTCCACCCGATCTTCCCGTCTCTCAAATGGTAGGCTTCTAGAAAGCCGGTTTCGCAACCGTGGCGGTTCGCACACGACCCCCATACTTCCCCGGATACGTCAATTGTCACCAACTCCAACCACACCTACTACCATGATTAGAAGAATCCCCATCAGATCAATCCAAACCAGCATCAGGGCTTTGGCCAAGAACGACCCATCCACCATTGACCTGTACAAATTGCCCTCCCAGACCTCCATCAACGAGTGGGAGTTCAAGTACGACTTTATCCCCAAGGTCGCTCAACCCAAGATCCCTCCTGTTTCTCCAGAGGCTGTGAAGCAGGACATTGCCCAAAGCAAGAAACAGCAGGTTGAGCAGGAATTGTTCACCAAGGAGCAGAACTCCTCTGTCAAGGTGGAGGCCAACACTGCTGACGTGCTCCATGGTGGTGAGTTTGTTTCCAGTGAGCCAGCCAACCTCAGCCACCTGGGCACCAAGCCTGTGGACGCTTCTCACAAGCAGACCTCTAAGCCAGGCAAGACTGCCAACACAGAGAAGTACGTGCAGAGCTCCACCAACCCTGAAATCAACAAGCCATCTGTGGTGAACTTGGGTGAGAACGAGGTCGACCACAAGGCTAGCACTGTGAACGCCCAGGAGCAGGTTGTGGACGATGTTGAGCACGGACAGCCCAAGAGCCTGAGCCCGGTCAACCCTACCGTGCTTCTCGGTGTTTTGGGTTTGGGTGGTGTTGCCGGCTACTTTGCCTTTGGCACTGGTTCGAAGGACGCCAAGCAGGAGAAGAAGGCTTAAGATAGTGTGAAAGCATGCGAAACGAACGTTCATAGATCAATGCATCCGCGTGAGAGCAAGTGCAATGGATAGTGATAGATATATTCAAAATACAAGAAGATATACGATGCTGTAGAGGAGCTGTTGGGTCAGTTGCGTCTGAAGCATGATATATTGCCGGTTTCATGATGGTTTCTGTTTGTGGAATGACCAAACTTACCGTATAATTGACGATTGGCAGTAATGTGGTTGATATCTTGGTATGTGTTGATTACCCTACAAATGGACTTTTCTTGACTTTCAAACACAACAGATTATGCGTTTGGACGAACAATGGGTTCATTTAACCCCTTTCCGAATTTCAACCAGAATACCCAATAACGAATACTACAAACGCTATTGGCTCTCTTGGTGTCACCTCGATCTTCCCCAGATTTGTGCATAACCTGTGTCCAACGGCAATTGCCACTACACATTTACACAAAGACTTCAAATCTTAGATCAAAAAAAACTACAACTCTGATTGTCTTAATTGTTTAATCCATTAGACCATGCAATGCTATATACATACTTAGTAACGACGAGAGGCCTCCTGGCAAGCTCTCAACTGCTGCAAGTAGAAGTCACACACTTGCATGTTGCCGTTGTTCTCCTCCAAACATCTGGTGAAGGTTCTGGCGTCAGCATCACAGGTTCTACCCTGCTCCTGGTTGTTGTACTGCTGCTGAGCAGCCAAGTCCTGCTGGGGAGCCTCAGCTGGGGCAGAAGAGCCACCGAACATGGAGGTGATTCCAGCACCCAAAGTGTGACCGATGGTCGAACCAACAGCGACACCAGCAGCGGTGGAAGCCATTTGGCCGAAGAGACCTGGGCTCTGAGACTGGCCACGCTGAGGCTGGGAAATGGAGGTTGGCGAGTGAGCTGGAGCAGCAGGGGCAGCAGCGGTGTGAGCAGATCTGGACTGGGATGGTCTGGCTGGAGCGGATCTTCTTTGTCTAGGCATTTTTGGAAGAAATATGAGTTGGTGGTGAAGAGAGCGAAGTGATGAAATATATAGCGTTTTTTAGTGGCGGGACGCGCGCGACATTGTCGTTGTGGAGAACCTTCCAGAACACGTGAGCACGAAAAGAGGAAATAAATGTGGGTGAGATTGGTGCGGTTTGAGAATGGATCAAGGGTACGCCATTGGCATCTGCAGAATAGACCAAGGGGCGTTCTACAGACGGAATTGTACTAGGGTAAGACCAACGTACTGCACATAGATGAAATAACTATTACCGAGAATATGAAGGGGTTTGACCAAAGATTACCGAATAAAAGAATCAGCCTACTTTTAAGACACACTAGCCCAGCATAACCCGAGATTTTTACCTAATTTGAAGCAAAATTGACTCCGTTGACTGGAGGGTTCTGACTGCTGAGGTAAGGTGGTGTACGGGTGTGAACGACATTTTCGCAGCCAAAAGCGTCTTGGTCCCAGGGTCACTCCCAAACCCACATGGGCAAAGCGAGAGAACTTGGCTAAGAGCAGGTCACCGAAAAGGTCTGGAAAGCTCTCCACGTGACTGCACACGTGAGAAGCATCACATGACTCGGCTCAACGGCGGAACATGCACCCCAGAATACCCTATTGTGGGCCCATACGTCACTCTGCGAGGCCAAATTCGCCTCAATTCCATTTCTGATTGATAGAGCTTATTTTGTATCATGTAAAATTCTTCATCTTTTCCAAATAAATTTTCCCATGTGTTTTGTTGTGGCGCAAAGTACGCATTCGTATTCCGAGTCGGCAAAACCGTTGGCTGCAAGCTCGCAGGACTACGTCAGATCTGGCGTTATCCGTATTCTCTTAGGAAACTTAAAAGCCACGGCGGACCGAAACGTATGAAAGATAGGTGACAAATAAATAAAATTCAACGTTTCTTTTTCTCCCACGCTATTTCACCCCAGTGTCACAAATTCAGCAACACATGCGAGTGCGAGCTTATCAGATCGTCGCGAGTACTACAGTTAACTACACCATTTATCCCAACTACCTATACACATGCTTATGTTGAGGGGCCTACGCCAGTCCCTACTACCTGGAATCCGTTTTGCATCTACAGCACTGGAACCCAACTACTATCAGGTTCTCGAACTTCCCCGAAATGCGTCGATTAAAGATATCAAGGCCCAGTTCAGGAAGCTCTCCAAGAAGTACCATCCAGATCTCAATTCCCATTTGAGCGAGGAGGAACGAGAGGAAAACAATAAAAAGTACGTGTTGATGCTGCTGGCGTACGATACGTTGAAGGATGTCAAGGCTAAGAGAGAGTATGACGCCTCTCTCGGACTTCGAAAGAACCACCAATCTCACAGCAATCCGAACCACAGTGACTGGCAGAACAAGTACTACGGCGAGGCCAAGTACTACTCCAAGGGAAAAGCTTCAGGAAGCTATTTTTCCAAGGGATACTCCAGCAAAAGGCATAGGGTGCACAATTTCTATGACGGCTCCGGTGGAGAAAGCACCCAAAGTGCCTTTAACGGAGCACACAAGAACTACGGAGACCGCTACAGCGTTCCCCACTTCAACTACAACGAGCATTTAGCAAAGCACCTCAAGTTCGAGCAGCGCATTATAGAGAAGCTGTTGACTCCAGAGGTGAGGGATGCTATCATTCGACAACTCAAACGCGATGGGGATATCTCCAACGTAAGCGAAGAACTCATTACCAAGCATTTAATGCGCCAGGCCCATGGCAATACCAATCTGGACAAGACGGTTTCACCAAACACCTCGAACCCATACATGTACCAGGGACCTCAGCATGGAGGTTATCACGAGGAGCTGAACTTTGGCAAAACCACAGCCCTTGTCGTTGGCGGGCTTGGCTCCATTTACCTACTATACAACGCCATAGCCTAAGGAAATAGATATTAACAGAAATTGTTACAGGACCGCCCTGTAGCTGGTTCTTTTATATAATGCAGTTTATGGAGGGTTTATGCGGAAGGAATATACTTGGCTTAACGGTCAACCTCACCGAACACCAAGTCCATGGTACCAATGATGGCGACTGCGTCAGCTAACAAGTTACCTCTCGAAATGTGGTCAAACGCTCCCAAGTGCGCAAAACCGGGCGCTCTGATCTTACATCTGTATGGTCTCTCGGAACCGTCCGACACAACGTAAACGGCCATCTCACCCTTTGGTGCCTCAATGGCGGTGTAGGTCTCACCTGGTGGCACGGAGTAACCCTTGGTGAACAACAAGAAGTGGTGGATCAAAGCCTCCATATCCTCCTTCATCAAGTCTCTAGGTGGTGGAGAAATCTTGTAGTCCTCGACCTTGACTGGGCCCTCGGGCATTTCGTTACAGCACTGCTCAATGATTCTCAAACTCTGTCTGAACTCGGCCATTCTGATCAAGTAACGGTCGAAACAGTCACCGTTGATACCGACTGGAACATCAAAGTCAACCAAGTCGTAGGCGTCGTAAGGCTGGGACTTTCTGACATCGAATGGGATACCAGAACCTCTAAGCATAGGACCGGACAAGGAGTAGTTCATGGCGTCCTCAGCGGTAACCACACCAACATCCTTGGTTCTGGCGTGCCAGATACGGTTGTCAGTGACCAATTCCTCGACTTCATCGATTCTGTCACCGAACTGGGTGGCCCACATGTAAATGTCATCCAACAAACCAGAAGGCAAGTCCTGAGCCACACCACCAGGTCTGACGTAGGCAGCGTGCAATCTAGCACCGGAGACTCTCTCGTAGAACTCCATCAACTTCTCTCTCTCCTCGAAACCCCACAAGAAAGGGGTCAAACCACCGACATCCATAATATGCGACAAGACAGACATACAGTGGTTCAAGATTCTGGTGATCTCGCCAAACAAGGTTCTGACGTACTTACCTCTCAAAGGCACCTCGACGTTCAACAACTTCTCGACGGCAAGAGCGAAAACCAACTCGTTGGTCATCATGGAAACGTAATCCAAACGGTCAAAGTATGGCAAAGCTTGCATGTATGTCTTGGACTCTATCAACTTCTCAGTACCTCTGTGAAGCAAACCGACGTGGGGGTCGGCTCTAACAATCTCCTCACCGTGCAACTCCAAAATCAAACGCAACACACCGTGAGCAGCGGGGTGCTGGGGACCGAAGTTGATGGTGAAATGTCTGATCTTGGTGTTCTGTTTCTCAACCTTTGTGGGGTCATCGTCTCTGCCCCAAGTCATGTCAACCTCGTCCATAGCCTCCGAAAACGTGGTTTTGCCGAAAATGGCGCCGTCTGGAGTGACTCGCTGGGCCTGCTTACCCAAGGCGTTTGTGTAGGGCTTGACTGGTTCTTCATTGGCTGCTGCTCTCAATGGAGCAACGTTGGAGAAAAGCCTGGAGGCCGAGGCCAATCTCACGGACCTGCTGGCAACCCGGGCCAAAGTGGGGATAGGAAGCATTCTGGGCTGTATATATGGGGAACTGAGTTGAAGAGGTTCACAGCTGCTTGGTTTTTTTTGGTGATCTTTTCGTGCGTAAGTACTTAGAAAAAGCCGGATGGTCATTGGATGGAAAACACCCGTACACCGCCAATTAGACAGATGGTGTTTTTGGAGGGAAGAAAGGAGGAAAAAGTTGGTGGAGGGAAGGGAGGGGTGAAATGAGTGCTTCTTGCGTTTTGACTGTTTTGCAGTGAAGATTTTGGTATTCTTTGTACTATGGAACTGGTGCTTCGGAGTCGGACTGCGATTGGGTGCAAATCCGTTCAATGAGGCTTACGACTTGAGGTGGACAGTTTAGAGGACATAAAATTAGGTCTGCTTTTGTCAAGCTTCAAAAGATTAGTCAGAGCTGCTGAATTTGTATTTATTGTGACAGCGCTCTGTGGAAAGTGTAAAATGGCAAATAACGAAACTCAATAGTACATCGTGAAAGTACGCTAATATTTGTTAACCAGAAGAGTCAATTGACCTTCAATCCTATAACGATGGATGTGTTTTCAACGTAGGTTGGTGTTTTCTGCACTTTAGAAATGCCAATTCATGTTGCACCAGTGTTTGACCGCAAGACAGCGTAGTATTTTCACCAATCAAGCAGATTTCCAATGCTTCACATATTAAGAAAATGGGTGGACATTTAGAAAGTGACTGAACATGAAAAGCAACTACCTCGTTTCTCCAAGGATTAACACTCAGTGAGTACAAATCAACAATTGAACTTTAAAAGTGCCCAAAGTGCTTTCAATTGAAAAGCACCTTCGATTTCCAGTGAGAGCTACAATTTTGAATCTTGATGTTTATTACTCCGAGGAGGATACCATATCTTAAGCTATTCAAGTAGCCTTACATCAAGGCAAGCGCAAGAAGACCGGCTAAACCACCAGCCGCATAGTAGCTTGGGTGAGTTCCAGCCATGTTGTCTGAAGTGGAGCTTGAGGCTATAGGACGCGATCCATTCAGAACGTTGGTCCCGGAATTAGTCCCATTTCCGATGGGTACATACAGATAAGATCCCGTCTCATAAGATCTCGTCGTGGGAGTGTAAAACAACTCCGGATCGTACTTTGGGAGCTTCAGCTCGGTGAGGTACTTGGTGCCAATGCTGTACACCTCCGCAATGTAGGTGTACCAGAAGAAATAGTCCATCAGGGCCTGGGCAGACACAGCCGTGTACGGAAGGTTGGTGTACTCAGACAAAAACGACAGCATAGTATACTTACTGTCAAGCGACTGAACATCCTGAGAAATCATAGTCGAGACGCTGGGCTCGACAGTGACTTGGGGGAGGCCGTTGTAGGCTGCCAGGACGGCTGCAAAAAACCAAAGGAAGACGAGGCTTTGCTGCATTTTCAGAAAAGTGATCAAGAAAAATTTTGACGGGAAACAATGCAAGCTTTTATAGTCCGCCTTTGACTGCTGCGGCGATTTTCCAATTATACGACTTTGGAAGACGCATGTACTCTGCGTTCGAATTCTTGAAACAGCCTCACTTAACCGAGGAGAGTGCTTTAGTGAGATGAGATGCTGCTCGAGACAAATGGTTATTTTATTTCAGGACTTTGATTCCAAAGGTTTCAGTGGAATTTGAAAAATGAGTTCCGTGAGTCACGAAAATTTGCCCATTGTTTCATGGTTACGTTGACGGCGATGGCGACAGCCGCGTCCCAATCCGGCTGTTTAATTTCTTAGTCTCTTGAAATTTGAGGCGTCCGGAAGGGGAAGCAAAAAATGGTCTAAAAACGACAAAAACCAGACACCTTAAAATTTGGACTTTTAGTGTTACGGTGGTGCAAGTTTGAAAGAAATAGCATAAGTGTGTCAAAAGTTAGTGCGCTCTAAAACTAGTCTCAAAGTTCATGTAAAGGCCGCATTGCAGGAATGCATAATAGCGATGCGGTGGCTCAATGGCAGAGCTTTTGATTCCAAATCAAAGGGTTGCAGGTTCGATTCCTGTCCGTGTCAAGCTTCTTTTTTTCAACATCATCTCCACCTTTTCACTCGAACGTCATTCATTTTTGCCCAATGGCCAAGAAGAAAGCAACGCCGCCTCCGCCCGAGCCCAAAGGCAAGAAGAACCAAAAGGGAAAAGCCGTTGAGCCTCCTCCAGTTAAGGGAAAGAAGGGCAAGAGCAGCACCCCAGAAGTCACCACTGAAGATCCCCAAAAACCCCAGCGTGGGTTGGCCATTGGTGACAATTTCGGCTGGACGGGAAAGCTCCCGGCAACTTTACTCTTTGAGTTTGCCCAGAAGCAAAAATGGAACAAGGTCATCATGGACATGAAGAAAACACCCAAAGGCTTCATAGGTATAGCCAACCTCAGCTGGGAGAACCCCAAGACCAAAGAGGTCATCCACGTTAGAATGATGCCTGATACCCTGATACTCCCACCTCGAGAGACCACCAACGAAGCCAGACATTTTGCAGCCACTTATGCCATGCACAGAATCAACTACGTGAAAAACCTACGAATGGTGCTTCCTATCATTTTCAGAGACTACTGGCTGGACTTGGAGAAACAGAGGCAGGAGATCCTCAAGAAAAGCAAAGCTGAGCACGATAGAATATACAATGCCAATCCGTTCCAGGTCGTTTTGGACGATAAGGCTAATGCTGAAAAGAAGGCTAAAGAGAGGGAAGCCAAGGCGAACAGCGAGGCCAAGATCAATGCACCAAAAGCCAGTATTTCAATCGGCACACCGAAAGTTTCAAAGGACAAGAAGCAAGAGAATCGTATCAGCAAACCTCGTCTGACAGTCAATCTTCCTAGTTTCCCTCGAAAGGCATGGGAAAATGCCCCATTCATAGACTTCCCGATAGATGTCAGGACATCGGTCGAAAGGCAGATCAGGGATCATATTTCGTGGGTGGAGGACGAAGAGGATGCACTGGAAAGCGATAAGCTCAGGCTGCAATGGAAATCTGACCTCACTGGTTTAGGATTCAGACAAAGTCATGTGGATGAGGCCCTTTCGTACACACATTCATTTACAGATGCTTTGGAGTGGCTATTGTTTCACATTCCTGACGACGACTTACCTGTCTTCTTCGCCAAGAGAGACGAGGACTCCAGTGTTTCCCTTAAGATATCCAAGGATATCCAGACCGAATATGTCCTTCAGAGACTAGCTCAGTCGGGTTGCGACAAGGACGAAATTTTGGAGACGTACCAGGAATGTGAGGGCAATGAAGTTGAAACAGCGATACGTTTATGCTACAATAGCATCGAGTATTCCTCAGACGCTGCTCCAGATCCAAAGGCTTTGTCCACTTGGGTAGAAGAGCTCGAGAGTATTGACATGATAGGCTCCAACGAGGTCAAATTTGCAGACCAGGAGAAAAGGACCGTCACACTCAGCCTCAACGTTGAGGGAGTGGAACAAGGCATGCTTCTGGTGAAACTCTTTATGCCTGAGGCCTATCCTAATGCACTTCCAGGTGTGCAAATCGTCATCAACAATCTGTCGTTTAAGTTGGCCAATTACATCAAATTGGCAATCGTTCGCCAGCTCCTTGGACATGTCCTCGAAGGAAGACTCCTAGGTGAATGCTTTATTTATTTCATGATAGAGTGGCTTGAGTCTAATATCGGGAAAGTGATACAAAACCCGGGGCCATTGAGTGCCACCTCAGCTGCACAGGCTACAGGTGAAAGCCTGTTAAGCCAGAAGAAGAAAAAGAAGAGATTCTCGAACCGAGAGCAGCTTGTTCTTACTGAGGACGATCTCAAGGAAATCCAAAATGCGTATCAGAAGAAATCAACGCTGGCTGAACTCAAGCGATCAATTGGTGATCGTTCCAAGCTTCCAGCTTGGCAGAAGAAGGATCAATTAGTGGAAGTCATCAATTCTAATAAGGTTACTTTGGTCACTGGTGAGACTGGTTCGGGTAAAAGTACTCAGATTGTTCAATTTATTCTCGACGACTTGAGCGCTAAGGGTAATTTCAAGAGCACGATTATTTGTACTCAGCCCAGAAGAATTTCTACCATCGGTTTAGCTGACAGAATTTCAGAGGAACGGATTCTGACAGTGGGAAAAGAAGTGGGATTTGTGATTCGTGGAGAAAACAAGACTTGCAAAACGACCCGTCTTCTGTTTGTCACCACAGGTGTTCTTTTGAGAATGCTCCAGTCATTTTTGTCAAATGATAAGGGCAGTGAAACTTCCATTTTTGACAGACTTGAGTATATCTTCATTGATGAGGTGCACGAGAGATCTGTTGACAGTGACTTCCTTCTCATCATTTTGAAAAGAATCATGAACAAATTCCCCAACTTGAAGATTGTGCTCATGTCGGCCACGATCAACACCGAATCGTTTATGAAGTTTTTCCCAACCAAGGTGAACCATATTCATATTGAGGGTAGAACATTTCCAATTGAGGACCACTATCTTGATGCTGTACTCAGCGACCTAGATTATAGTGTCACAAATTACTATGGTGAGGTGATCAAGCCCAAGGCCGACTCTCACTACTTCAAGACAGGCACGGCCAACTATGACCTTGTTGCAAAACTCAGTGTCATGGTTGATAGGAGATTAATGGATGAGAGAAACACTGGCTCCATCTTGATCTTTTTGCCCGGTATTATGGAGATCAACAAGTGTATCAGAAAGATCGAGGACGAATTTAACTCAAAGGGTTTGGACTGTTGGTGTCTTCCTCTCCACTCGACGCTTTCATCCAAGGACCAAACCAGAGTGTTCAAAAAAGCACCAAACGGAAAACGGAAGATCGTGGTTTCCACGAATATTGCCGAAACGTCCATCACCATTCCCGATTGTGTTGTTGTCATCGATAGTGGTCGCTCTAAAAGTGTCTTCTTTGATCCCCAGGCTAACGTTTCCAAGCTTGTGGAAAGCTGGTGCTCCCGAGCTGAAATGTCTCAGAGAAGAGGTCGTTCTGGTCGTATCCAAAACGGTACATGCTACCATTTGTACACCAAAGACACTTTTGATCTGGTGCTAGCACAGCCAGTTCCTGAGATCAAGAGGGTCAGATTGGACAACTTGTACTTGGTTGTAAAGGCCATGGGGATCAAGAAAGTTGACGAATTTTTGAACAGTGGTCTTGATCCTCCTGATGTTCTGGCCATTAAAAAGACCAGGGCCATGTTGGAGGAGATTGGAGCTTTGCAGATCGCTGGAACCAACGAAACATTGACTCATTTGGGTAAGTATCTTTCGTTTGTTCCTACGGACTTGCAGCTGGGTAAGATCTTGATCCTTGGATGCATCTTCTCATGTGTGGAAATCTGTCTTACTCTTGCAGCTGTAAGCTCTACTGGAAGTCCTTTTATCAACAGCATTGAGAAGGGAGACGAAATCAGACAAGCAAAGGCTAGAATCGGCAGAAACCAGGGTGACTTTATAGCGTCAGCTTTGGCGTACCACGAGTATGCTGACCTTCAGGGCAACGACAAAAAGAAGTACATTGCTGCCAACAACTTGTCTTACATGACTTTGCAGGATATCCAGTCGAACAGAACGCAGTACTTGCTGACTTTGAAAGAGATTGGTTTTCTTCCGTTCAACTACCAGAAGGACAAGCCAGAAGGTAAGTTTTTGAACAGAAATAGCGAGAACTTTGACATTGTGAGGGCCATCATCACAGGATCCTACACCCCACAACTTTCAAGGGTGCAGCTTCCAGACCCCAAATTTGCACAGACATTAGCGGGAGCTGTCGAGATTGACCCTGATGCCAAAAAGACAAAGTTCTGGATAAGAAACGAGAAGTACATCGAAGAAACAACTACAGGAGGAGAGGTGAAAGAATTGCCTGCTTCAAGAGTTTTCATTCACCCGTCGTCGGTGCTTTTCTCCAATTCAGCGACTGGTGCTTCTATTCCTAATCTTGAGGACCTTACGCTTGAGGACGGATCGATCGACATGCAAAAAGCCAGAGAGCAGTTTGACATGACTCCGTCAGTTCAACTGTCGAGCCGGTCGGTGCACAAATCGCCCTTTGTCGTTTACAATTCTTCAAACTACACCTCCAAGCATTACCTTAGGGAAATTACTCCCACAAGCACAATCACGGCGTTGCTTTTCGGTGGTGACATCTCCTATGACATCAGCAGTCTGGCATCTGCTTCCAGAAAGTGTCCTGGCATTATTCTCGATCGCTGGCAACCCATCAGAACCTGGTGTAAGAACGGTGTTTTGATCAAGCGTTTGAGACTTCTTTTGGATAAAGTGATTGATAACAAACTCTCCAACCCCCTGTTTGAGCAGCAACGGAATGCCGACGAGGAAATCATAGATGTGGTACGGAAAGTGCTCACGGTGGATACCAGACAAAGGTAGCCCCAACATAGAAAACGTATAGATTATAATTAGCAAGATTAATCTAATAACCTAGAAATTTTCTTTTCTGAAAAATGTTTAAATCAAAGTACTCAAGGGGAAATGCCTCGAGGTAAGACACTTGCGACGTTATGCCATATAAGCGAGTCGCAGATTTTGCAACCGATGCTCATAACATTTACCGCGTAGCTTAGAAGCACAAGATCGAGCACCACACAAGATATTCACAGCGTTCAAAATAAAACGGAATAAAATTCACGTCAAGTTATTACCAGAAGTCAAAATCGTATAGTTTTATTTCTGGGTGGCATCACGTGAAGTTACAGATAGTGTGCGTCTTATCGTGCTTACTAACGGTTAGCTGCACGATGCTTTACAGCAGCAAAAGCTTGCTTTGAAGTTTTCTCACCAACACTTTATTTTTCTTCAAATGGCAAGCAAATTGAGCTCAACTCGGGAAGAGGAGCAAGGTCTCCTCTCCAGTTCAAATAACTACGACAGCACAAACGAGATCGTCAAGTCCGATCTGGATCCAGAGTCTATAGACCCTGATCTCGAAGATCTACCGAAGGAAGTCCGAGAAACGGTCCCACTCACAGATGACCCGAGTATTCCTGTTTTGACCTTTCGTTACTTTGTTCTCCTGACAATCTTCATCGTTCCAGGTGCGTTCATAGATACTATCAACTCGTTTCGGACTACATCGGCGGTCTACTCCATCTTTTTCGTTCAGATCGCTTCACATTGGGCCGGTAAGTGGATGGCTAAAGCATTGCCCAGGAGAGATGTCAGAATTGGGTCATTCTCCTTTTCACTAAATCCCGGCCCGTGGTCTATCAAGGAAACTGCATTGGTCACCATCACAGCCAAATCTGGCGCTACAGGTAATTTGGCCACAAACGCTTTAGCTCTATCTGAGCTCTTTTTCCATAAAGAGGTACCAATGACCGCTGCCATGCCGTTTATGTGGGCCATTGTCTTTATTGGGTACTCGTACGCAGCCATAGCGAAAAGAGTGGTGAGCTATGATCCCAGATTTCCCTGGCCCCAAACACTAATGCAGACAGCGCTTCTACAGAGTCAAGACAAGGCCGACAATAGAAACAATACCAAGAGAATGAAGGTGTTCTTTTGGTGCGCTGGGTCTCTCTGTGTTTGGCAGATGTTTCCAGAATACCTCTTTCCAATGACCTCCTCATTGGCCATTCTTTGCTGGGCTGCTCCTCACGACCATATTCTCAATTTCATTGGCTCAGGTATGGGCGGAATGGGATTCCTTAACTTCACTCTCGACTGGGCCAATGTGACATCGGAGGTTATGTTGTACCCATACTGGGTCCAGGTGGTTCAGTTCATAGCATTTATTTGCGGAGCATGGGTTCTTTTACCGCTTGCAAAATGGTCTAGCTTGTTCACTTTTAAGCATGGTCTCATGTCCAACCGCCTTTTCACTTTGGATGGTGACTTATATCCCACTGAGAAGTTAATGACTCCAAATGGCGGATTCAACCAGACTGCCTACGAGTATTATGGACCAGTGAACCTCGGCGCTCAAAGAGCTTGGAATATGTTTTTCGATTACGGCGCCTACGTGTCAGGCGTTGTATGGGTTGTTGTTTTTGGATGGTCACGGTTACGTTCCTCAATTCGTCTGGGGGGAGTCTTTCGTGATCGCCTTAACAAACTTCACGCTGCATACGAAGAAGTACCTGTCTCTTGGTACGTCATTTTATTCATCATTTCCATTGCATCATTACTCCATGTTGCTGCTTCTGGCTATATGTTCATGCCATTCTGGACCTGTGTCATTGCACTCATTATCGGCTCCATCATCGTCACTCCACTCATGTGGCTCTATGCGCTTTCGAACTTTCAGCTTCCGATTGGTACGTTCAACGAGCTCTTTTATGGATATTTGGTTCAGGATTTGCCGCTGAAACACCCAGCGGGAGCAGCCTTCTTTGGTTGCGTAGCAGGAAATGCTTGGTACAGATCACAATTCCATCTAGAGCTGATGAAGCTTGGTTTCTACAACCACATTCCACCAAAGTACGTTTTCTTATCACAAATTTACGGCGAGCTCATTGGGGTCCCCATCAACTACTTCAGTCTTCGTTGGGTACTTGCATCGAAGTGGGACTACCTTGTGGGAAAGCTTACTGATCCGTTGCACCAATGGACAGCACAGACTGTGATTACCTATCACACCAATGCGATTCAGTATGTGATTCTCGGTCCTCGCCGTCTTTTCGCCAATTATCCGCTTTTACCATTGGGCTTTCTTGTGGGGCTTATAGCTCCAATAATAGTGTTTTTGCTCCACAGGAAATACCCTAACAGCATATTCAAATTCCAGCTTTGGAACACCACGGTTTTCTTTTCGACCATGAGCCATTTCTACGGCAATTTGTCCACTGGCTACCTCTCCAAATTCATGGGAGGTACTGTGACCATGTTTTACGCTTACAGATACAAGCACAATGTCTGGAAGACGTACAATTATGTTGTTGCAGCCGCTCTAGACACAGGCTTCAATTTGGCAGTCACCATAATCTTTATCATACTTTCCCTCGGTATCTCTGCTCCCGTCTGGTATGGAAATAATCCAGACAGTGTGGAGCGGTGCTTTGCATTATAATCAGTGAGGGAGCCAATAGACGACTTAACGCTTAATACACATTTGCTCGTATACTCACAAGAGCGCACAAATAAATTAATCGGAACAGATATTTAAAACAATCAATTGAAAAATAAGAAATAAAAAGAAAATGTCCACGATTCTCTTCACCCAGATATGGGGCTCTCGGTGTAGTACTAAACACACCCGTGCACCATCAACATATCAACTACCTCTACTTCTCACACCTACAATCAACCACAACTACGGTTCTAATTCACACAATCCAAACAATATGAGTCAGCCTCCGGCACAAGGTAACCCACAACAGGGCACCAATGGCGGACCGGGTCAGCAAATTCTGCCAGCCCAGGCGACCAAGCTTCTTGCAGTACTCAAGGAGCAGTTGGAGAAGGCGAAAACCTCCACAGACCAGGCCACCCAACAAGCCTGTTACAGACAAGCGGAGCGGATCAGGCAAGTTCTTATGAACTACCAGAGACAGCAAAGACGTGGACAAGAGCAGGGTCAGAATGCTGGAACTTCAGCTCAAGGTGGTCAAGGTCAGGCTGGTGCAGGTGGCGCCAATTTTGCTGGAAACGCTCAGATGGGCCAGCAGAGACCTCAGGGGCAAACACATCCTCAAGCCCAAGCATCAGGTTTGGGCCAAAACCAGCAAGCCCAGCAAGCGGCGGGTCAGCAAATAAGACCACAAGGAAACGCTGGACTGCCACCAGTAGCAGCTGCAGGCGCACAGGGTGCTAGACCTGGAACTATTCCAAGCTCACAGGTCACTCCAGAAAGATACCAACAGGTGAGACAGCGTATTCTGGAGGTCGAGAGGAAGATTCAGTCGTTGGAGGCGGAGAAGAGAGGCGACTTACCCGCAGAGAAGCGGGCACAGATTGATAACCAGCTCACGGAGTGGAGAAACAAGTACGCACAGTTTCAGAAGTTTGCCAACATTATCAGGTCTCAGTTGGTGGAGCAAGCTCGCAACGCTTCCAACCAAGGAGCTGCCAGTACCGGAAACCTCGGTACAGCTGGTACACCTGCTGCTTCCAACGCAGGCTTGAATCTCCAGGGTCTGGCATCGAGCCCTAGCGTACCAAGTGCCGCTGCTGCTGCCGCTGCTGCACAAAATTCGGCCCAGAGAGCGTCCGTAACTCAACCTGCTATGGGAGCTGCTGGATCACCCCCACTCAACAGAGCTGGATCTCCCGGTTCAGTGGGCAAGGCAACAAGTGGCTCGCCAGTACCTGTGCCAGGTGCTACACCAGGTGCTCCTGGTGGACCCAATGCTCAAGGTGTAGCATCCGGAGCAGGAACCCCAGCTCCTCAGAATGCGGCTGCTGCTGCAAATGCAAAGGGTAGAAGTACCTCCCCCCAACCATCCTCAAAAGAGCCAAGCGTGCCTGGCGTCAACTTATCTGGTATCACCAAACCAAGTGTGCCTTCCATGCCCATCTCCAATACCATCAACGTCAAGCCTCCAGCTCCAGTTACACTCAAACCTGGCGCTAACAATGTGCGTCCTACATTGACCGGTGGTGGTGCTTCTGGTTTGGGCCAGATTATGGGTACTCCAGCTGTTATGAGAATGCCTACGTACGACATGGCCACCACCTCTGCAGCTGCTCTCACTGATAACGGCGGCAGGGTTTTGACTAAAAGAAAATTGAGCGAGCTCATCAACACCATTGGTGCCGACGAGGGTGATGGTAGAACAACTATTGACGGAGATGTGGAGGAGCTACTCTTGGATCTTGCAGATGAATTTGTCTCTTCTGTGACCACGTTCGCATGCCGCTTGGCCAAACACAGAAAGACAGACTCTGTTGATGTGAGAGATGTTCAACTACACCTTGAGCGTAACTGGAACATTCGTATACCCGGTTATGCCATGGACGAGATTAGAAGCATGAGAAAGTGGCAACCCAGCTCCTCTTACAACCAAAAGGTTTCTGGTGTGGAGATTGCCAAGGCTATTAACGGAAACATGAACTAAACCCAGTGTATTTGTTCGACTTTGTATTTTTAAGCTATATATTACCTATTCTATTACCTTGTAAACCCCGTTCTTGTTGCTGAGAATTGATGCATCCACCCAGAATTTGAGTGCTTGCGATGCAACGTATTCCGAAAGACCCGTTGTCAATATGACAGTTGGGAGAGAAAGACCATCCTGCTCCTCGTCGAATATTTCAATAACTGTTGCCTGAGCAGGGGTGACCGTGAAGCTTTTCAAAACACCGTCAAATTCGAGGTCCAAAGACACCGTTCCCATAGAGGGAAGAAGTTCGAGATCTCTGCCTGGCTTAGCGTTGATGAAGCCCTCGGTGAACTGCTTGAATCTGTCTTCAATGGGTACATTGAACTTTTGCTCGTTCTCCATCTTTTGCTCGATCGATGGCCAGTACATCTTGGAAAGTATTGTAAGCTCCATTCCAGCTCCCCCAAGCTGAGAGTTGAGGTTATTGCTATCATGAACATCCTTGATCATCACATCCAAGGAGGAAAACTCGTTGGAGCCGAACCTGGCCTTGAGAAGTCTAGTGATGTCATCAATATCCTCGAGACTGTACTTGTCCCATTGGAGAAGCCTGTTGCCGAATATACCAGTAAGCTCCTCAGTGAAAACCGAAGCCAGATCATAGATTGACACCAATGCCTCCAAGACATCGGAGATCTTACCCCTACGGAAATCGGGCAATGCGTCGATAGGATCAGGGTTCCATTTGAGATCTGTCAAGTCGTCGATGGGTGCAGCTGATGGAGGTTCATTGATTTGAAGTTCCTGAGCCAACTCAACCAATGGGTTCGTATCTGGATTGAGGTCAAGCATGCCGTTGACAACCTGTTGCACCAAATCTGAACGAGTGCTCAAGTATTGCCTAATTGGACGGACCACCTTGTCAAGTAAGACACCTGTTGGATCGATCATAAGGAAGGCTTTAATTGTTTTGGTGTACACAATGATCACATCGGTGGTATTCGTTCCCAGGTGAAGTAGTCTCTGACTACAATCATCAATAAAGACATCCACAATCTTTGCACGATGGTGAGCCAAAGACTGAAAGCGGTCTACGTCCAAGGCCAAGCATTCACGAAGTTCCTGGAGTGCCACTATACTTTCAGGGAATTGCGTCACCATATCGAATATCTCCTTGATTCGGAGCAGCACAAGCTCGTCTCGAGCGATCTGGACGAGATCGCTACTCGAAGCACATGCATACTTGGATCCACATCCAAGGGAAAAGGAAGGGTAGAGCTCGAGCCGTAGCCATTTTTCAAGGTCATGAAGAACTGGGGTGTTCCACTGACCGAGACACACCTCAGTCAAGTGGCTACAAATCTTCTCAACAGTGACCTTGACAACAATTTGACGTAGGGTGGCATCCATTCCAATGGACGAAAGTGTCTTTAATTGTAGCGAGAGGCCCTCGAAAAGCGAATCTCTAACATGTTGTTCGAGCTGATCCAACAAGTGCTGTTGCAGAAGATATTTGATGAACAACGAATACAAGCCACGCAAAAAGGAATCATTAGCCAAATTGGACAACTTCATATGCGAAAGCTGTTTGGCGTAGAAAGAGCGGAGTTGCCAGACAGCCTCCAATGCAGTGAATAGATCCAGATCTTTGGGAAGCCTGTCCTCAAGATCGAGCCGAATTGAGTTGATCCACAACTTCATGAAATCAAGCTGCTGGGGCTGTGTTCGTAGGCACCGTTTGGCTGCTACCTTAGTTCTCGGCAGTGGTTCAGCATAGCTCATTTCGATACTGTTGTGTTGTTTTGGTTGGAGCCAATGTAGGAGCTGATCAAGGTCATTTTCCAAATCTTGGTGCAGTTCGGGATTCACATCTTTTAGTGTTTGCAGGGGAAAGATGGACGCTATTACCAGTTTTGGTAGCGTCTGTCTTGCCTCCATTTGGTGGAGCCTTTGTAGGTTGTAGTAGGTTGTTACTTCGCGCTTCCATATCTCAATGGGTGCAAATTGACGGGTCTGATGAGGTCTACAGGGAAGTGAGAGAGGGAATAAAAAGGAGAGGGAATAGACAAAGAATAGGAGGTAGAATTGTCAATTTTTGCTTTTCACGTTAAGTATGTGGTACAGAGAATGGCTTCGGTGGTTGTTCAGGTGGTGCACCGGTAAAGACATAACATGAAGTAAGAGTTAGTGTATCCTAAACACGAACAGATCCTCTTCTTAATGAAAGACATTGAACTGTTCCCTGGGTCAATGTTCCCTGGGTCAATGTTTCTTGGGTCAATGGTACTTGTTCCGTGGATCAACTATAGAAATGCATTTGCAACACCTGATTCTTGATAAAATACATATAGATCTCAAAAGAATCAATATGATTTGAATTTCCGACAATGGGCACAGAGGACAAAACAGCAAATGATCTGAAACCCTGAGGTGTGCTTCTCAGATAAAGGTACCGCTATTTCTTGCCATTACTGAGGTCCGACTAGTGCGTCGTCAACTCTGCAATTTCGCAGCCAATACGGAACACCCCCATATCGTAAAACCTTAATATCGATACTTAGAAACCATAGCTTCGAAGGCGATCATCATCGGATAAAATTGATCGAAATCCTTCACAAATCCATTTTCGAGCTTGCTTGACTCAAAACCCATGGGTGGTGGTTGTCGCGCATAAATCAAACCCAGCTTTATTCATCTCCACCACAGATGGTATGTTCTCATCTTCACCACAGAAATACCCATACTAACCGCAGGCGAGACTTCTGAAGACCAACGCCAAGGCTCAGTTCATTGATGTCACTCATGCCAAGCCAGCAGTGGCCACCCAATTTCTTGAGCAGGCTGACTGGGACGTTGATGCTGCCTTGAGAGAATACTACAACCAGAATCCGCCACAGGACCCGAAAGTTGGCGAGATCTTCGATAAATACAAAAGCCCCGAGAATCCTGACCTTATCCTGATCGATGGGACCTTGGAGTACTTGAGCGATTTGGGATATGATCCAGAGGAGCTCAAGAGTTTGACTGT